AGTGGTCTCAGAATGGGATGTGGAATCCACAACCCTGCTCCTGGAGCCCACAGGATCTTTTGAGATATATTCTAGCCTGTGTCTCAGTTTCCAAAGTGAACACCAGCTAAGGAGAGTGTGGCTCTCTAGCTTTTATAGATTGACCCAGACCTCTGGCTCTCCCCTCCCACAAGGCTGTGAATGAGGGGGCAGAGGGAATTCCCTGAAAGAAAATAGGAAGATGGATTCCCAACAGTCAGAGTTGGTAATGTCCCTCCGGAGACTGAATCCACCTGGAAAGTCATTTCTCAGGCTGAAGCCTTGTGCCCCCTCAGTTGACCACTTAAGCTGGCAAACTCTCCCTGGCTGGGTAACCCACGCGTCCTGACCTGCTGGTAGAGGTTCTAGCTGTGGCCTTGCTCCGGTTTGGCTGTCCATGTCCACCCCCAGGAATGACAGTAATACATAGGGCCAGCCTGGGTGTCTGGAGCCAGGCCCTGCTCCTACCCACAGCTTTGCCAGGCCACCTCAAGCATCCTAGTGGGAGAGTCCCTGCAGTCTGTCATATCTCTAAGCCTCAGGGACAGCCCAGCTGTGGCCTCCCATGAGCACTCCAGTGTCACCAAGTCTGTCTTAGAGGAAAACCTGGTGAGAGGAGGAATCTCTGGCCTTCAGAAGGTAAAAGTGCAACTCATCTTTACCACAGGCCCCAGTCCCTCTCCCTGCTGATAGGTGGTTGGGTCTGCAGGCACAGAAAGCCCACCATGAAGGGTCAAGAAGGCCAAGGGGCAGGGGCTACAGGGGGGTGGGACACCTGGCAGGAAGCAGCTTTGTTGACTTTATGGATCTCTCCAGGTCCGGAAGTGAATGGTTTTCTGCCAGCCAGGGGTTGTCACAAGGATCACCAGAGAGGGTGGCTCAGAATGGGTACTGTGGGGCCGTAGGTGGAACCAGGTGAGTGTTACCTGGGGACGCAGTGTGTGGCTCACACCCCTCCCTCCCACCCCAATTCTCCATAGGATTCTGGGCTAGGCCACCGCTCTAGACAGGCATGGGAGGGGCCTCAAGTGCCTGTCCTCCCTCCCCTCCCCCACAGTGACGTAGGCTTCCACCATCACCCCTGACCCTTCCTCTCTCCAGCCCAGTGGGCTGAGGTCAGTCTTAGACTACTTCCAGTCCAGCAGAGGATAAGGGAGAGACACATGGGTTTGTTGTCAGGACCCAGCTTACATTCAGCGTTGCCTCAGCATTTGCCAGGGCCATTCCTGACTCCCCTCCAACAGCCAGGAACTAGATGGATATTTCAGAGATAACATCTGGCTGGGTTTAGCCAACAAGCAGGCTGGTAAAAGAGGGAAAGGGAAGAAAACTCACAGAATGTATCCCAGACGCCACCTTGTCGGGTGGACTGGTAACCTGAGACTCCCCCTGGAAAACCTCTCCGCTGCTCTTCCTGATTCCAGTATGCTATTGGCTAAGCCTGGTAACTGCTCCCCACTGTTGCAAACCTGGGATATGTTGCTTGCTCCTTTCCCTAAAGTCTTCCTACTCTGTAGTAAACACTCTTTCTATTAAAGTTTCTCAATTGCTTACTGAGTTCCTGTGAGGACCCTTACTGGTATAGGAAGAGAACACACGGTAAGTCTCAGGGTATGTACAGGGCCCCAGGCCCCACTGGCGAATCTGAAGGCGGCCAGATATTCCTCCTTGCCATTTCCAGCTACCTGGATTTCCTTGGACTTCAGGTCTTGGGTGAGGCATGAAGAACTCAATGGAAGGGCCAGCCAATTAACTCAGCAGATTAAAGCGCCTACAAGCCGGTGCAGGAGCCGGGGGTTCTATCCCTGGGCCTGCTGTACCAGCCCTGCCCCTGGGGTGAGCTGAGACTGGGTGTGGTGGCACACGCCTGTTATTCCAGCTCTTGGGAGGCTGTAAGCAGGCAGATCACTACGAGTCTGATCTAGTAGTGAGACCCTGAATACCCTGTAGACCTTTCCAAAAAAAAAAAAAAAAAAAAGAACTCAATGGACAGTTTAGAATCCATTCACTGTAGCAGTGGTCAGTGGCAGAGGTGGGGATATTTGCGGACAGCAAAAACAGCTCATGGGACCCAACCTACTGTCTGGCCACCCACAACTCCTGTCCATTTTGGGGACCTAGCTTCCCATCCTGCCAATCCACTCTGAATCCCCAATAGACACTTCTAAAGGATCTGTTTTGCCTGATTTAGCTGGGATCTATTTCTATTGCTTGCATCCAGAGAATCCTGGCGCAGGGCTCGCTTTCAGAATTCACAAGGACGAGAGGTGTCCCTGGCACTGCTCAGCAGATGTTCAGCCCCACAGTCCTCACAGAAAGTCAGGCATGAAGCGTGGTCCATCTGTCCTCATGGCTGCCATTTAGAGCCAGCTCTTTACTGCACCATGACATTGCTCCAATTATACAGAAGATTCAGTTTATCCCCCAACCTGCACCTCAGAAAAGAGAATCTGCTTGGTACAGTTTGCCTTCGCTTCGTATTGATCATCCACAGTGGGCAGGGGCCCAGGTCAGCCCCTTTGGGAGAGTTAGGCTCCTGCTTCTCTAGCCACTTAACAGATACTCCATGTGCTGTGACTAAGACACGACCATGTGAGCAAGCGAGTAAGTAGGGTTTTCCCCAGCCTCCTGATCAGGTGGGATGAGTCACACCCTCCCCCCAAGGCTGCCATACCTCTGTCTTAGCATGTTTCACACTCAGCCTATCCCAGAGTCTGTGGAAAGTTCCTTCTCCTGCAGATGGAAGTACTCAATCTCTGTAGCTGTGTCTCTGATCAGCAGCACAGTAACCCTACCTGGTTTTTCCCACGTAGTCCAGCAAATCACAGATAAAGCTGTTAGAATCATGAGACTCTGGCTCCCATGATATGTCTGATTTTTCAATATAATGTTAAGACAAACCAGATACATCCCAGCCAGGATGAAGTCACTTTTGTTCTGACCCATAATTATATCCCTCTCTAACCCAACTGACCTTGCTGTTGCCCACTTTCACTGGTAAGTCCCCCAGTGAACTGCACTCTGTGCAATCCTCCATCTGCCTCTTTAATCTCATGGCATCATGGGATTGATGCTCATACACTAGGACTGAGTTTTCTGCACCAAAAGGGACTTGAATATGATCGCCAGGAAAAAAAAATGAATTCTATTTCTAGGTTCCTATTATTTGCCCTCTATGTGCCTAATACACTGATTTACAGCCAGAAGAGGATCCAATAAGTGCCCACTGGATTAAGCAGAGAGTACGTATGAGTCACCTCCTATTTGACAAACACCATGCCTGACCAGGGAGGAGTAGCACTTACTGAGCCCTTGCTTTGTGCCATGGCCTGAACTAGACATGGTCAACCTCGCAATAACCCCACTGGGTAGGTGAGATGACTGTCCCTACAGGGGAGACATGAGAGACACAGACAGGCACATCACTGGCCTAAGTGGTAGATGAAGTCCTAGCCAGGCTACCTGGCCGCAGAGCCTGTGCTCTTACCTGTTCTGCCAGGGTGTTTTTTAGTGCTGAACTTGGCACTGAAACTTTTGGGATTCCAGTGACAGCCACGTCAAAAATTTCAAAATTATTCTGAGTTCATCCGCCCAACAGCCAACATCCACATTGACCCCACCCGTCCAGGAAGGGGGAAGGCCTCAAGGGTGGGGCTGAGTGATGGCAGGAAGATGCCATTTCACACATGACTTGGAAAATAAAAGGCTGCAAGTTGAGCGATTGAGTTTGTCAGCCTCAGAAAAGACACTGTGTGCCCATCTCCTGAGGAATTTGGCAGCTATAATTCCCCAAAACAATTCTGAAAGAGCGAGGCTGGGTACATTTGGGGCTTTGGCACCAAGGCTTCCAGACAGTCTGGAGTAAACATGCCACAACCCTGCCCATGCCCAGTGAGGTCCCATGCAGGACACCAGCCCACACATAACGGGGTGTCATGGAGCATCCCAAGGAGGCTTGGCCCCACCCTGAGCATACTTTGGTCCCTGCTTGGCCACCCCTGCCCACTTCCCCTCCAGAGCCAGACAGAAGCTGGGGAATCTCCACAGGGCACTTCCAGGTCCCCTCAGTCACTGGCGTCACTGCCAGAGTTGTTCCAAATATCACTGGAATAGCAGTATTTCTTAGACTTGAGACCAGAGGAAATGACAGGGATCATTTTACTTCTCCAAGTGATTCCACAGAACTGCTTCATTGGGGTGCAACTTTAGATATTTGTTAAAAGTATAGCTTCCCCCAAGCCAATCTTAGACATAAAAAAAAGGAGGTACTTAGAGTGGAACACTGCCTCAAGCAATGAACTAGCTGTGCCACCACGGTGGGGGTCAGATGAGTGAGGCTCATGATCTGTCCCTCCTGCTCCCAAAAGGAACCCGGGCCACTCCCCTGACCACTACTGGACAGACCTTATTTCCTGAGCACACCAAGCTCTTCCCCACTTTCCCAAGTTGAGCTTAGCAGGAATGCCACTTCTCAGGTGTTCCTGCAAATGGCTCTTCCTCTTAGTCCTGGCCACTGCATCCTCTTAGTCCTGGCCACTGTTTACAGGACTTCCTATTCCATGGTTAGGTCTCTCCAGCAGCTCCTAAGCTGTGTCCCTGTCTTTGTTGTCTATGCCCAACAAGGTAGGCAGTAGGTGCACCACCAATGGCCATTACATGTAGATTGTGACATAAATAGCATAGTGACCCCAACCAGTTCACTAGTTCTGTAAAGTGGCAGAGGACATTCCCGGCCCAGTTCACAAGGCCCAGTTCACAGGAGAGCCAAGGCCAGGAACAACTGCAGGACACCTTGCACGTGGAATCACTCTCATGGTCTTCCTCATCCTGGGTCCTCTATACCTCACCTAGAACCAAGTCCCATATTCCCACACACCACGAGACACCTAGAGCCAGAATCTGGACATGTTTATTATCAATCACATATTTCATAGAAAAAGATATAGCAAATGGGTCAGGGTGTATGAAAAAACAACACAGGTTTTCACAGCCACTCTATGTACACATGGGAACAGGGTCTCCCCGAAATCAGGTGCAGCAGCTGCACTTGTCTGAAGCCCCTTTGCAGATGCAGCCCTTGGCACACTTGGCACAGCCCACGGGGCAGCAGGAGCAGCAGCCTGGGGAAGAAAGGGGACAGTGAGAGGTTAAACAGTCTCACCTCAACAGCAGGATTGGCACCTCTATCCCCACCCTCAGAGGAGCCTCAAGTCAGGAGGAGCCTCTAGAGAAACTGGTGGATCTTTGGATTGTTATGCTTCCTATAAAGGCTGCTCAGGCCCTCTGGAGCCCAGGACAGCTCCCCCACACACACACCATTCCACAAAGTGTGAAAGTCTGAGATGAAGTGGGACAAACTTCTAACAGAGTAGCTCTGGTGGGAGCTGGGATGTGTTGGAGATTCCATTACAGGGAAAGGCTGACCCAGGAGGTTAGAAACCCCAGGTGGTCATCAAATCATGTGCACATTTCCCAGGTGTATTGAGAAGCAGGAGACCCAACTAGGCCTGGAGGTGCAGGCTGGTAATCCCAGCACTCTGGGAGGCTGAGGCAGGACTGCAAATTTGAGCGCAGCCCAGGCAATTTAACAAGACCTTGTCTCCAAGTTAAACATTTTCAAAAGGCCTGAGGGTATAGCTCAAAGCAAGAGCCGTAGGTTCAATCTCCAGAACTGGAGAGTGTGGAGGAGCAGACAGACATAGGTTCAAGTCCTGGCTCAGACTCTGACAGAAGTCGGTGACCTTTTTGAGCCTCAATTTCCCAGCCTGCGATAAGAGGGTAGGGCTCCACTGGTCTTTTGAGCTCAGGTCCTAAATGGGGGCTGAAAATAACAGGTGGGAAGTTGGACTCCGGCCTGCTGACCCCTAGGCCCCACCTCTGCCCAGCCCACACTCCCAGGGAAGCCACACTCACTCTTCTTGCAGGAGGTGCATTTGCACTCTTTGCACGAGCAGGAGCTGGCGCAGGCGCAGGAGCCACCTGTGGAGGGAAAGGCAGTGAGCGAGAGTGAGAGCGAGAGCAGGAAGATGCAAGGGACACCGCAAGGGACACAGCGGCACATTGCTGACTCTCCACAGTCCCTTCTGTGAGCCAGGTCAACGGGGAAGAACTCCTTCTTCCCTCGGAGGGGCGCAGGAAAGAAGCACATCTTCTGTCCTTTCATCTCAAGTTCCTCCCTGTTTCTACTCTCTCGGGATGGTCAGAGACTCCAAACTCAGCCCAGGATGACTGCGACTGAAGACCTGGGCCCTACATCCTGACCTCCAAAGAGGTAAGCCCTTCTGCCTTCCACCCAGCTTGATGGCTCTGAGGTCTGCACAAAGCCCAGCACCTCCTGACCAACTAGCTGTGCCACACCGAGCAGATCAGCGCTGCGCTCAAATTTTGACACAGAGCACAGGGAGGATAGAAATGCTGTCAGATGCATAACCAGAACGAAAGCATCGGACAAAGTGAGTTCACGTGGCTCAGAACTCAAACATGATCTCCTCGAACCCAGGGACACGCTGTCCTGGCGCTGGAAATTGGGTATCCAAAGGTCCAGAGTCAGGCGTCTCTTACCAGTGGCGCAGGAGCAGTTGGGGTCCATACTGAGCTTAGGTGAGAGTGGAAGTCAGAAGCAACAGGCGGGAGGTTATCGTCTGGAAGTCTTGGGGAGCAGGCTGCCTGCCCGCTAATTTTATAGCTAGGGAACAGCGCCGGGTGCAAAGGCACCACCCCGCGGGTGCAGTCGTTTGGGATTTGCACTTGGAGCCGAGCGCCGCCCGGGCTCTGGGCAGCGCTGAGCGCACCGTGCGCCGGGCGCAAAACCCTACGTGCGCGGCGGTTGAGCAACTGGGCGCCGCCTCTTTGGTGCCGGCTGGCTCGAGCGGGAGGGGCTTGCGCTCCCCCACACCCTGCGCTCCCGCCGCCTCTCTCTGTTTCCCGAAAGTTTGCCCGTCACTCCTTCCCCCGAGCGTACGTTCCCGGAACCCAGTCGTGGCGACCCCCCCACCCCAGCCTAGCCCCGTGGGCGTCAGATAGCCTAGCCGGAAAGCCGAGTGCAACCGTGTGCCCGCGCTCTCATCTCACCATGATTGGATGAGCAGTGAGCAAGTTGTGTGCGTATGACCCACGGCTCAAGTCACCTTTGCCTCATGTCCCGGGCTTCACTTCGTCCTGCCCTGTTTTCTTGTACACTGTACCAAGTGGATACAGGTTTCCCCTTACCCCACCCTTCCTTCCATTCTTGGGGCTGAAGGTATTGTAGGCCACTAAGTTAGATAAAAATATTATAGGCTGTCAGACAGGGGGCCCTCAATGAGGCAGCAGGGAAGACAAGGAATGTTTAACTGTAGAGAGACAGAGGCTCCTGCTGTGGGCCAGACCTAAACACCAAAGATTCGAACAAATGCTTACCTCCCTAAAAATGGGCACCCAAGACTGATCATCACCTTGAGGAAGCCAGGGAGAGTCACTAATCCAACTGCTGCTGGCTGGCTACTGGATAAAGTCCTGTTCTAAATGTGTGCCTGCTTGCTATGTGACTTGCTTCCCCATTCAGCTCTGGATTTAATCAATTATACCTGAGAAGTGGTGCTTGTAGTCTCATTGGTTGACCATAGTTTGGTTCCACTTCATGCCCACCTAAGTGAGTTCCCATGGTTTCCGCCTTAGCCCCACTTCGCTGCATGGTTTTACTCTATAAAAGACCCTCGAGGGCCAGGGAGATGGCTTAATAGGATAAGTGCTTGACTGGCAAACGCAAATCTGAGTTCAATCCGAGTTCAATCCCCGGTTCCACCAAAAGAAA